TTATCGGTCAGATATTGTATTTACGACGGTTCCAACGAAACATGAAACGCTCAGCCCCTCGCCCTTGCGTACAAGTTCGACTTACTACGATGGCCACTTACGGATGCAACCATACAGAGCTGAACGGCAGTGGAGTATGTTGAAAGGAAAACTTCGACCCGAGAACAAACACCGATATGAGACTGGAAACCATTAATAATGAGCAAGCTAAACTATGCATTTAATTTACAGAGATCACAATATATATATAATGTATGTATGGTCATACGTGAATGTGGTTACTCAATTTCTCGTTCAGGCCGTTGGTGGACTAGCTATATAAATCGGATCAAATCGGGAGAACTTAGCTCGTAAGAATTAACCAACCGAATTACGTAATTAATTCCTTTTTCTCATTAGCCGTAAATAAATGGAACCGCTACGAGCGCGTACTGTAACCGAATCAAAGAATGAACACCAAATTGAAGTAAGTACAACGCTCGGTCCGCCTGCGATGCTCTCGTCTCGTTCTGCGAAGAGCAAGAACGCTCTTTAAGGGTCTTTGAGCCTCGTACAAGACGTCCTTCTCAACTCCAAAAGGTAAACGAAGCCACGGGCCAGCCTGACTTGGTGCTTGCCTCGTGCGATGCGTCCGTTGGTTTCGGAATTAGCATCGCAAAAGACACATCGAGTGCCGAGCACAAAAGCCGCGTTCCAAATACCGCGGGTCCATGTAAGCCCCGAGCAATTTGTACCTCAGTGTTACTCATCCTATAGCTGTACACGGCCCAATCGCAGCACCGACGATTACAATTTAACATCTCCATTTCACGCCATTTATCACCCGCCACGAGTGGGCCCCTTCACGTCCTGTTTGCGCTAACCCCCATAGGTGCGCAAGACAGAGTCTTCGGGGGGCTGCGCCAATTGTGGACCACACGTAACCCGCAATGGGCCGAGCCAAACCAGTTCAACGCCGGCCAAAGAAAAGCGCAACCGAGACGCCATGCTCGGAGAAGGAGAGCCGAATCATGAAAGTTTAAAGCTGTCTCATGCCGCATACATTATGGGCAGCCAATAAAGACGCATTGATCGATTAACGCCGGAGTCAAGGAGGGACAACCTCTGTCACTGTGGCCCCAGCGAACGATCCATTGCTGGGCCGCGCGCGCCTGTATAAAGTTGTACGAGGGGCCTCGGGACACTGCAGCGCGAGATTGACCATCCATTTCGGCGTGACTATAAATGAGGCGGATGGCGCAGACGCCCTGGCGTGGCCGAGGGGGGATTCCTCCCGCGGCACGCACGCTCCTCGGCTGAGCCCCTCGCCGAGTTCGGGTCCCGGCCGAGCGCAAATGGATGGAAAGCCTTTCTTCGGAGACCGCCACAAAATGAACCCATCTGACAGTGACGCATCGCCGCTTCGCTGCCGGACGTCTGAATGACCAATGGTGGAACCTCGCGCTGCTCTCCGAACACACGCACAGAAACAAAACAAAAAGGCGGGGGGTCAATCCTGGGGGCTGCAAGTGTCGCGTGCGCCACGGGCCGTGCTAACCCGGTCTTGCACTGCCTTCGCTACAAGTAATTGGACGGGACATTCGTCGCACATTTAACAGAGTTTCATTTTCTCTTTTTTTTTTTTCCCCACAATGTCTAATGAAATTACCTATATTAGAGAGGTTTAGGGTCCCAACGCTTTGTGCCCCCGAGCTGCCTGGAACGGCGCACAGATCATGCGCCGAACATCTGCAGTCCGCGGTGCAACGTCCCAAGTTGCTAGGGGGACTGAGAGGGCTTTGGGACCTCCTGTTCTGAAGCTCTCTGTAGTCGTAGCCGGAAACGAGACTCATCGGGTTTGGGTCCAAGGTTCCTAGACTGGGACCTAAACTGGTAAAGTTCGATTGGCGTACGTCGAAGCCGCTGCAAGCGGTTTCTGAAATTCGCCATGGCCACTTATAAACATGCAACCGCGTCGGGAGTTGTCATAATTAATCCTCCGGGCCATGTCGCAGGCTCGCGACACAAGCGGACGAGGCCGTCGCCATCGTCCGGCATGATCGACAGTCTGTGTCGTGTCACCTGCGGCGATGCCACCTATGTTTGTATCTATATCGCAGACTCGTATAGACATGCGCCACGCCTATACAATATTAATGGTCTCGAATTCTTGCCCCTAAGTGATGCAGCGGGGGTACTTTCTACCTCTCGTTGAGTGTAAGCACAATTTTCTTGAGTACACACACACATGACGCGATCATGAGACCAGAACGTATATTAAGTTGCGGGAGTCACTGACGACTTGTAAGGTAAAAGCTCATTCTTATGGTACACGTTTGTCTACATTCGATTAATATACGTCGAGGATATGACTGCGAGTCGTAGGGACATCGGCGGTTCGATGCGTGCCATGGTTCACGCGAAGCACGCGAGTCTAGGGAAGCCGAGGTCGTTATACATTTCGATATAAGTCTCAGCAGCGAATTCAAACGCTGTCACACTGTGCTCCTTTAAGTGTGAATAGGCCTAAAAGTGTGATGTCATCCCGTATGTGCTTGTGGTTCTTCCCCAGTTCTTCCTTGTTTCTACTGCTGTATAAAACTAAAATCACTGGGGAGGAACGCCACGGTAATAAGCCGTCACACATGGCGGACCAAATCGCTTCATTGCAGGGTATACCTGTGGACGCATTTCCAGCATCTAGTTGGGCGCTTTTGCACCCTCTAATTTATTCTTTCGGGAACGGCATGTTCGACTCTTTCCAAAGTGGATATGTCGAAAGGTCGCTCTCCGCAGAGCTCGCCACTTCACGAGAGAGAAGAGGTGAACAGGACACGCACGAATGCTGCGGATGAGCGACGAGAAGTCCGCTACAGTTTCCACCGGACTGGCACATTTCAGTACTCTGTACCTACAGACGATTCAAATATTGCTTCCTAAAATTGAAACAAAAAATCCTTCGTCACGTTCTTTTTTTTTTTTTTTTTTTTTTTTATACGAGACATGATATTAGGCATGGTGAATTTTCTTTTCATAAACTACAAGCGAGAAAGCTGGGTACATTTTTTTCTAAGTCAAGCACCCCGTTCCGGTTTCTCCTCTATACACACCAATCATTACCTGGTCTTTGTGACTGACCTTTGAATTATTTTATGTCTCGACTTCATTCGTGCTCCGCGCGCCTGTCGCGAAGCGCACGCTATAAGCGTATATCTTTTTTGTAGGTGCCCCCGGAAATCTTGCTCGAAACCGTTTTTGGAGTACATGTGCAAAGTGTTGCCAACTTGTACACGCCATCGATGAACATCGCTCCCTACTTAGCGCCGTTGATAATGTATATTTTCAAGTTGTTCGCTGTTAGTTTTCTCCCGACTCTCCGACCGCTTGCGGGACCCATGCAGCGCTGTCGGCGGCGTCGCCCCAAACTGTCGCAACCTCCGAGTTTACGTAAGAGCGCCCCTCGCTCTCATTATCCCGCACCGGCGCTTCTGATCCTTGTTTTCATTTAGAAAGTAAATTTTTCCCCGCGAGTTTATTAATTTTCAAGACGGACTCGGCGCGCTCGATCCCAACTCTGCAGCGGCAGTGGCACCCAAGTCTATCGCGCAGCGCCTGTGTGCACGGCCTGCCTCTCGTCGATCGCAGGCGCCCCGTGACTAATTATAGAGGAGAAGCATATCGCCTCGAGGTTCCGCAAAGAGCAAGCGCGGCGCGGGGTCTAGTAGCGCACGTCGAAGAATAAAAATGCCGGGGCTGCAGAATAAACAGCAGCGTGTATTTTGGAAAGCGGCCCGGCTCTATAGCCTGGGAACCGAGCAGCGCTCGCGTATCAGCGCCGGAGGCTTGGCTCGGAGACAAGCGCAAGCCGCGTTATTAATCGACGTCGCCGACAAGCGTCGTTTTTCGCCCCAGCAAAAACTCGGCTGCTGCCTGGTGTCGCACCTGGGGCGAGGGGACGCCCGGACCTCTCCTCCGGCTCCTCTGCGAGGCCCCTCGGGCTTGCCTTTTCCTTTATGTGACCTTATTTTTCTTCTTGTGTGTGTGCATGTGTGTGTGTGTGTGTGTGTGTGTGTGTGTGTGTGTGTGTGTGTGTGTGTGTGTGTGTGTGTGTGTGTGTGTGTGTGTGTGTGTGTGTGTGTGTGTGTGTGTGTGTGTGTGTGTGTGTGTGTGTGTGTGTGTGTGTGTGTGTGTGTGTGTGTTTGAAAATGTTCTGAACATGGCACCCGTGTGAAGATAATTGACCAAATTCGGATTGCCATTGCTGTCCAAACTTGGGCAAATTATCGTCGTTCGAAATCTGCACGCTGAATATGCATTATTTGTTGTGCCAGCCCATTGGTTGACATCGATTTGTGCTCGTTGATCGCTGTGACCTTTACTGCTCCACACGTTTAGCAAAGTATCGAAGCGCATAGGCAACGATCAGTCGAATTTGTGATCTTGAGTGGCCATCTTTAAACGCATGAATGGTAATAGTTCCCTATTTTGGAACCGAGGTGGGGTGCGCTACAAACTTCCTGTTTCCTAAGCAAGCAAGCAAACAAACAAACGAGTGACACAAAATAAATAAAAATACATATTCAAAGTGCATGTACTTTTCAGTCGCCCATTCACTCACCGCACTGCCATGTCGATGCGTGTGTTCCTCTCTGTGTGCGCCAGTCTTTTTCGAGATGTGTACACACCGGGTCCACAAAGGTCATGACAAGATCTCGGTTGGTTCGGGTATAAAACAAAATAATCCCTCATCGTTTCACTTCAAGAAGAAGGCTCGACCGGGAAAAGTTTATTCTCGACTGGCAACTGGTGCGCATATTCGGTCAAACGACACTTGACTTTGCTCGGGTCTGAAGAATACCGCAGCTAGCACAGAGTACCGTATTTTCAAAAAAAAAATTGGCCACATCCAGTTACTGCTTCTTGAGCGGAGTGAATGACACAACTCCGTTCTGTTGCTTCCACTCGAGCAAGCCATATTACAATATATATATATATATATATATTCAGTTACTATAGGAGAAATGGGGAAGTTCAGCAACGTTTCCCTGAAGGTGACTGCTTTGCCGGTAAGTAATGCCAGCTAGGGACCAGGATCCGGGTACGGATGCCTTTGGATCAACCGTAGTTGTGTATTTTCTTTGGCTCTGCAGTTCACTCCATATGTCATTCTGCACGAGAGGAATGGGAAGATGCAGCTACTGGGCCTCACTGGTTCAATCTTCGACAACGTCAGCGCAGCATTGAACATCTCGTAAGACTCGTTTTTTCTGTGCTTTTTGTGTATGTCGTTTTTCGATTACGCAATGCTTCCGAGTAACAAGCATGGCAATAGTCACTAGGCCGAATGCCATTTGGTGCACAGGAATGTTATGCATGGCTGGGCAGAAATACTTCAAAAAGTTTTCGGGAATAAAAATATTGAGACACCTGTATTTTAAGGCTACAGCTACTGAGAAACCTTTGTCTTTTATGTCACGGGATAGTCCTGAGATATGTCTGCAAATATGGCAAAAAAAAATATCCCGGAATCCAGAAAAAGAAACATACAGAAATTCTTTTTTTTTTTCCTGGACGGTGGTAGGTGTGGAGGTTGCGGTTAGTGGCAAATGTAACTGGCAGTGATTGCATTCCTCTCTTTGCATTACTTTATGCCTGACCCTTACTTCAAACCCTTCATCTATTCACATCTACCATCCTAAATGCCGCTAAAAATATCATACTTCACAAAGGGCGTCTTCTCGAAATGAACCAGCTGATTTTGCCGTGAGGGTGCATCTCAAACTGTTGTCTTAAGTGTTTATCATCGGGATGAGCTTATACTGCTACTCTTGGGGATAAGTGAATTTTCTTTGAACCACCACTTGTTTCTTTATTTCAGTTTCAGGGATTTCATCTGCGTTATACCCAGGCAACCAGGCTTCCCCTCTGTATACACCAACTCATGTTTACAAACAAACCGGAGCGCCCCTAGTGGACGCCACCGGCGCCGCGCATGCGCGATGGGGGTGTGGGCAAGAAAGCTCGCCGTCGCCCGTAATCAAACCATCGAAATGCGATGTTGTCGGCGTCGGTATGAGTCCCCCTGCCCTTTTTCGCGTTCGAATCGTTGGTTCTACGTCTTCCTGTCAATGTCTGACTACTTGAGCGGCCTCATCGAAATTACCGAGGCTCGTTACACCGCAAAACTTCGCGCGAATAATGTGACATGTGGCGGTTCATTCCGCGTGGACGCCGCAGAATGTACGTTAAAGCCTGATTCGCACGATGATATTTCGCTCGCAATTTTCAGTCGCGACGGCGCTCGGACTGCAAAAGCATGAACCGTAGCTGAGATGATCGACTTGGATACTAAAAATTGCAAGCAGAATCGCACCAAGTGCATCAGGCATAACAAGTCGGTGATGGCCAGTTGTAACAATGATCAACATCTTGTATATACTGTTTACATCGAGCCTGCTTACCAACCTTTAAAACTTAAGTCTTTTAAGGCCTGCACTTACATCTTATCGCAAATACCGGGCCAACATTTTGCCTACGGGCCGGTATCGTTTAAAAGAGCAGACGACAAGCAGAAACGTTTGGAACAGCAGACGACAGTTCGAACGATCAGGCGGGTGTTCGAACTTGAAGACGCACTGAATGTAGTCCGCAGGTGGTCCGTACAATTTAACGGTTTTCCGGCGTTCATGTTGGAACAAAAGAAATAAATGTGTTGACTACAAGTATCCGTGAATTCAACCGAAATTGCTTCCCGCCCAAGCAATCGTGGTCCGACGGCGTCTGGTTTTCTCTTTTCACGGCACATATCCACGTTCTCGGACGAACCGAGTACTTGAAAACTGACCTTCAAACTTTTCTCGACTCTTTTGGTAGTCCCAGTCGCGGCATTTGACGAGAAGGCCGGTTTTTCTCTGGTTCCTTTCAAAACAACGCAGGAATACACGTCTCACATGGCGACTTTGCCCACAGCCACAGACCGGAAGTGCGCCCGACGCTCCACCACCGCGCCGTGACGTAACAGAGATGAGTTCGTGTATACAAAGGGTTGTGCGGCTAGCTCATATTCAAAATTCTGGGGGAACCGGCCCACTCGATCGTCACCGGAAAACTTGTCACAGGACAACTGGTCACAGCGGCCTTCAGGATCTGGGTCATTTCGTCATAGGAACACTCGGCACAGGTGGTCGTTCGTCACCGGAAGACTGGTTGCAAAGCCGTCTGTGTTTAAGAAGGAGCAGCGCCAGCCTTGCTTTACACAAAAGAACTGCAACGCCCGGAATTAGTCCTAGCATGTTTTAAGTAACAAAAAGAATTTGAACCCAACTCAGAAATACGCTCAGGACGCTCGTATTTGATAAGATTTTGATGCTATCGTACCAAATTTGTCGCTTCATTGTACAAAGAGAGATTTCGTACACAGCTAGCAGAAAATGCAGATCTGGAATTCATTGTGCACGCAGGGATACGAACTATTGCAAGGCAATCAATAAAGTTTCACGAAACCGTTAGTGTATGGTAGTGAGGGGCACACATACTTATCTCGGGGACCAAACAGACCACTCTACCAAGATACATCAAAGCATTAAAAAAAAAAAAACGGTAAAATATGTTTCTTATTTTTTATTTTTTTTTAGGCTGGAGAGGGAAAGTGTGCACTTCGTCTACTTGTCGTTTTTCCACTTGTTTCTTCAGGTATTGTTTTTTCTTGTTCAGCTTTTTTTTTTAATTAAGAGAATAGATTGATCTTCCGCATCAAATTCTACTTGGTTCCGGGTGTTTTTTGGTAATTAAAATCGATGCCGGATGTTTCTTGGTATTTAACATCGTTTCCACAATCAGCCCACTTCAGACTGTTGCAAGAAACGTCCAGTTGTCTGTCGGAGGCATTTGTAAAATCTGCATAAATAACAAACAAAAAATCCCGTATTTACTAGCTTATACATGCCTTCAGGATTTGGCATGCCAGTTCTAAAGACCGCTATGATCACGAGTATATGTATTTATTATCTGCTTTATTTCAAATCTATGTAATATTTCCGAGAATGTACGTCATAATTATCTCGCTTGCAACTCAAATTGTGAATAGTAACTTACTCTTTCAGATAATAACTAATCCTATTACAAAACCTTTTTTTTTTTTTTTGCGGGAGAAGGTTTTTTGTTTTTTGTAAAAAATAAGTCCTAATATGAGTCCTCCGCGTGACGAGAATTATTCCGGCACGAGAATTCCTCGTAAGAGTTGCCCTGTGCGAAGTTGGCCCATCGAACGAGTTCACCTATGACCAGTTGGCATGTGACGACCGGGCTTGTATTGTGTTCTCCTAGACCCAGATTCTAGGACTACTCGCACTAAAAATGTGGCTTTCGGTTTATCGCAAAAACACGACAAACAAGTTTGAGGAACCAATGTAGCGAGATTCCTAAACCTGGCAAAGTATCGCGATACAATCGACACATCGTAGATGTATTTCACTACTGAGATACAATAAACTTTTCATATGTATCTCGATACAAAGATACAGATGCTGGAAAGCATCTCTAAGATACTATCGCGATACATTTGTATCGCGATACTGTCCAGCCCTGCGCGCAATGTACATGCGTAACATTTTCTGGTGCATAGCTTACGTGGTTAGCATTCCCTAATGCGGTCGCGAGCAGCACGACGGTAGAGGTGAAAAAACTGCCCTCACTTGCGCCCTGCACTCCGGGTTCCGGAGAAAATGTCCCCGGAAGCATTGCCGGTCACATCCATGAGCCATCCAGCAGTGTCGAAGGCCATCAACGCCTTACGCTCAGGGAAATCGACAGTAACCACAAAGATGGTCCATGGACCGAATCGGCGCTCCCCCCAAGAAGAGGAGCAAGTCGACGCTCATTGAAATGCAGCGCCGTCTTAAGAGGACTTCCTGTGAGCTGTCGACCATACCATTCGATTTTAACGTTTCTGAATGTGCAGCGAATTTTCACATTTGTTGAAGTGCATCTCCTTGTTTCTTTTCATAAAAAAATGATTACACTCTAAACTAGAATGCGATTACTATGTTGGGGAAATTTGCTAGGTTATTATCTCCCATTTTAAAATGGGTTGCACATGGTATTTTTTTTTTTTTTCTAACATCTTGGGACCTGTTTTTTTTCTTCTAAGTGCTATTTGGCACCATTATTTCCGGGGCAATTGTTTTCCGGGGCCATGTTTTTTGACACATATATACTCCGGAGCAGCTGGAGCAGTATAATATTCATTACAACATAGCCGCCTACCGGTGATTGAAATTTGAAATCATTTGCTTCGACTATGTTTCGAAGCACGATGAGAAAAGAAAATAACGTTTTGATATAAACTTAAAAAAAAAAAAAAGGCCTGCAGGATTAATTCACAAAGACGCTTGTAGCCTTCATGCTAATCTTTTTTGGTTTGCAGCTACGACGTGGTTGTGCCGGAAGATGAGATGTGGGGTGCCATACTAGAAGACGGTAGCTACACGGGCATGCTCAAAACCGTTCATGAAAAGGTGAGACTCTAAATTTTTTTGTTCTGTGAAGTAACTAGTGAATAATTCTGTAGAAACATTTAATATATTCTCTATCAACTCCACAAGTGATGTTATGGAACGAAAGTATGTGGAAGGATTACGATGTAAGTGTACGCCAGAAAACGCCTCTGGCTTTTTCGGTTGCAACAATTTTTACAATGAACAGCAGAAATCAATACAGCAGAAATCAAACATATTTTTACAAAATCATGATTTGTCACAAGCGGAACAATGTGCCGGCATGTCGCTTGCAAAGCGACATGCCGCGGTGATGACTGCGTGGCTGGGGAACACGCTTACCAATGCTCGCCTGGCTACAAGACTTCCCTCGAAAGCGCCATCCAGTGACGCATTCAGCGCGCGCCAGGTTAGAGCCGTTATATTGCTGGCCTATTGTCCAACAGATGTTGAGCCACTGAAGCGGGCCTTGACCAGCCTTTGTGGCCAACGCAGAAGACTGCATTGGTTTTCGTTGTGGGCGCTATGTGTCAACAAAAACCTGCGATATGACAAGTGCTTTTCTTGTGGATCTCGGCAAGGTTCTTAGCCTACAAATTGCAGTTTCGTGGACCGTATATACTATGCAAGGTGATCGTGAAATCCACGTTTCCTCATCTGCATGTAACAGCTGCCTGAGTTCAGCGGTGCTTTTAGAGACTGAGGACACGTCCACTTGCGACTCTTGAAGTTCTGTACGAACAAAAACCACCGTCCGTTATCGCCCATCCTTTTTTTTTTTTTTTTCTTTTTTGAATTATGGCAGGCCGCATATGGGGAAAGCCAAAAGCTGCCCGGTCAGTGCTGTGTTCCTTAACGTGCATCTTTTCAAAGCGTAACGGTTTAGGGAAACCAAGATTTTGCGCAGTCGGCCTGTTCACACGTCGAGTTTGACGTGCGAAATCGGTGACGTATTGACTCACGAAAATTTCGCCAAACCTTTAATTGTCGTCTGCACCGGGAACATCAAGCGTTTCGCATCAAGATAATACAAAATACGCGCAGGCCAGTACGAAACGACGCTCTGCTTTATTAATACCACTCATAAACCCCGTCGGATTTGGCTCACTCGCGGGTATACTAGGCCTGCGAAACCGGCGAAAGACCGCGAGTACTTTCTACGAGTTCATATGAAATATACGCCCCGAATAAGGTTTCTCCTGTCTCCGTCAGAAAGCTGATCTCGGTTTGGGCCCCTTCACAATGGACGAATCCCTAAAAACTCATTTCTGGACGACATCAATTTTCGGCTACTCTGAACTTGGTATCACCAGCGGCATCAAACAACTGTCGGCGGCCAACAATATGGGAATACTCAGTGCCTTCGATATGGCCGTAAGTATCGAGGCCTACGGAGGCACTCATTTTTTTTTTCCGAAATTATTCAGTGCTACACGCCGAAACAATGGCCCGGCTTTTTTTTTTTTTTTTAATGTCACAATCGAGGCGACGGGGGGTATACGTACTATACGTGAGAAAGAAGCGAGGAAACGAAAGAATTTTCCATTTACGACGGGGTTTGGTGGGTCATTACACTGCTCCGGAATCAAACGCGGAGCAAGTTGCTAAGTATTCAGGAACTATTGACAAATACATGATTCCTTTAGCCTAGGGGTCTCCAAACGCTTTGGCACGGGGGCCGGATTGGGGACCTGTTCCAGTCTCGAAGGCCGGAAATTGGATATGACAATATAAACGAGAAAATACTAATGAAATGAGCCTAGATAAGCATTTCAATTCAAACATTTAGACTAGACCAAAACTTAAAAAAAGAAATGTGAGGTGGGCAAATACATACATACTTTTTTTTAAAAGTGCTATATTTTACTATTTATGACAGCAAATTGTGAACCCGAGAACTCACAAGACATCAATCAAAGCGCATAGGAATTTTGCAGACATGTACACGTTACCCAAAAAAGTAACTAAATACCGTTCCTCGTTACTCGCTCACAAAAAGTAACTAAATACGTTACTCGTTATCGATTTTCAAAAGGAACGCGTAAGTTACCTCAAAAGTAACGAGTTACTGTTCACGTTACTTTGACGACGAAATACACACTGTTTTTGTTTCATGGTTTATTGTTTTATTTTTAATTGTCGTTGCCCTTAAGCGGTAGCTGCCTCTCGAAGCTTTTATCAGTTATGTTTCCCCGCTTCCTTGAAAACACATCTCCGGTGACGATGAAGAGTTGTTCTACCGACGCGCTCGAAGGAACGGCAGTGTTGCGCTTCAGGAAGAGCTGGTGAATCTTCGTGCACTGCGCCTTCATTGAGGACAGCGGGTAACGGTTTATATGACTTCCCGTGTTTGCAACCTCCGGGTTTACATTCGGTCTGTACCCGGTTCAGAATTCAACCAACGAACCTGATTGTGCTCGCTGGGTGAAGGACATTCCCAGCTGTAGAGTTCGGTACAGCAACGTTTATCGCTGGACACGTCAGTCGAAGTGTTCGACTGACGTGTTCAGCGATAAACGTTGCTGTACTGCCATACTGTTTAGTTGTTTTTCGGGTTGCCCATCTGCCTCTGTCGCAATAGACGCGTACTCAGGCTAGAACAAAAAACAAAATTGCATTATAGTTAAAAGGAAGTTTAATCGGTGTTGCACACGAGATACCGTTACTCGTTACTTGGCTTTAAAAGTAACTAACTACGTTAATCGTTCATTTTCTAGAAAAGTAACTAAATACGTTACTCGTTACCAAAAATAGTAACTAGGTAGAACTAACTCGCTACTTGTAAAGTGTTACGTATGTACATGTCTGGAACTTTGGCATATCCACACAGGGCAGAAGACTAATGAGACTGGTAGATTAGGTCAGATCACTATGCAAGATATACATGAGAACGCAAAGGAATATTTTCGTAGTTACGCAGACATGAAGCGGGGAACTACAACTAGTAATTCTGGTGATAACAATGTACAATAAATAATATGGCGAGAAAACCGGCTTTTTTATTCAGTTTTCTAGACATGTGCAAATAGTGGATTTTGAGTTCGAATCGAATTCGAAGCAAATAGTGGTTTTTGGTCGAGTATTTTCGAATGTAATATAGAATAGTTTCTCCAAGCTTTTCTAGCCATCGCTATATTTATAGACTGTTACCTCAGAAAGTCCATGGCCTACATGGGAATGGCAAGTAAACGATGCATTTGACATAACATTAAACCTATAGAGATGCCCAGCTATACCTGATTGAGGGGATTTATGAATCTTTTTGCTATATGTAAATGTCCTTTATTTAATCTAAAACTGAAGTAAAAATAAAAAAGTCTATTATGAATGATGAATGTATATTGTTAGGACATCTCTGCATTACTATACTCTCGCATAAAAAGCCACAGTTTAATTTTGAAAATGTAATGCCTCTCTCAGACGGGCACGTTAATAAGCGCAAGATCGCGAGCTGATTCGCCGATTATTTCTTTCTTTAAAGGAGTTCATTCTGAAGTCCTTTAATGTGGCCGTCGAACTCGGGTATTACTGCAGTTAACAAAGATTTCACTTCTTTTCTACACGCACCACGCGCGCGCGTGCGTAATGCAGTGTTGTAGGCGTTATCAAAAAAAAAAGTATTGAAATATATATTACGTTACTCGTTACTTGCAAAATAAAGGAACGCATTACGTTACCTTAAAATAAAATAAACGGGTTACCGCTACCGATCAAAAATAACGCACTTACTTTTGCGTTACTTTTTCTTTATAAAATGATGGTAACAGCGTTTGTTTGTTTTTTTTAGGAGAGCTTTTTTTGACGCTTGGACAAAGAGTGCGGGCGTTGGGATTTTTGCTAAAGTGGGACTTTTTGCATGTGGAAAAGACGGGCAGAATTTTGAAGGTACGTGGAAGGAGTGCGATAATTAATGACTTGGCGCCTATACTTTGTTTCAGCCTGTCCAGACGCAGCCGAAGCAACGAACTAATGGGACCAATCAAGCAGCGTCAAAAGCGCAAGTCACTGGACTTTCTTTATATTTTTTTATTGACTCAGCGATGATAGAACACGAACAGAAACATGAAGAACACCACGATGGTGCCCTTTTGACGCTTTCCGATCGGTCCCATCATCTCGTAGCGTCGGCTGCGTCTGGGGTTAAGGTAAAACGAAATACAAAAACACGCACAAAAAAATAAGTACTTTTATTTAAGTCTGGGGAACAAGATGTAACGAGCCACATAACAAGGTTACCCGTTACTCGAGATAAGTAACGTAAGTACTTTAGCCGTTACTGCATTGAAACTGTAACGAGTACGTTACTAGGTTACTGCAAAAAGTAACCCGTTACAGCCAACACTGCCACTATCCCGCTTTGAAAGTGGCCTTTCCTTTTGAGAACTTGACTACATTATTTCCATTTTTCGAAGTGTTAATCGTGGCGGATTAGCCCCGTTGAACGCACTACCGAGCACCGATGCACTGCGGAGAAGCAACATCCGCGGAAGTGAGCTCCACGGGTGTTGCTTCTCCACAGTGTACCGGTGCTCGGTTAGAAGCGCCCTCAACAGGGCTAACCTGCCGCGGTAAACACTTCGAAAAGTACGAACATCAGAGTTCATCTGGAAGCGAATATCAAATAGCGTATTATTCGGAACTACTATTTGAACATTCGAATATTCGCACAACACTAGTTCTCTCTCATTCTCTCTGACATCTTCGTTTGCGCTTTTGGTGCGTATCGCGCTTCCGATTTTTTTACGAGCGCTTATTTTTTCGCGTTGGTAGCTGCGGGCCGCGGGCCGGGCGTCACTAGAAAGACCACGGCCATCCACGAGCCGCTGGAACGCCTCCGCAGGTCATGTCTGGCCCGCGGGCCGGGGTTTCGAGACTCCTGTTCTAGTATAACAATGTTTTTTTTTGTTTTTTTCTAAAGGTACCTGTCAGGATGCAAGTAGTAGACGATCAGGTGAAGCTACACTGCTACATTAGTTTCGTAAATGTGGGTGTAAAAAATAACGTGAAATGCATCGTGCTGTGTTCAGGGACCTTAGCCGTATTTGACTTATGCGGCAGCCGAAAAGAGCGTCGCATCGCTTCCCATGCTTTCATGTATAGCTTATGTCTGGTAATCAGGAAACATTTGCGAAACGATGACATAAACCCAGTCCATTAAAGGGGCAATGAAATGATTTTTCAACTTCTTCCTCCTTAGCTTTCCTCAACTCAAAAGCGAAATGAGAAACCACGTGGTTATGACGTGTTTGGGCACCGGTGCGATGATTCCAAGCTTCCACCGTGATTTTTAAAGGGCAACTGAGGTCAATATTTTCGAATTTGGGATTTCGACTGTTTTCAGCTCAGTTAGTGTCCTTGAATTACAAGATTTTTTTTTGTTCTCCATATTGTGTGTAGTTTTATAAATATCACGGCTCAAAATCTGGTTTCGGGCGTCTACGGCAAAACCGAAACTATTTGCTAGAGGGATGGCAACACTGATAATCAGCTGTACGGCCGCGACGTGACGCCAACGTGGTGCTGCAGTAGGTGGCACAACGTGCGGAATCAACCGCGGCTCCACCGCGACGTGACGTCACGGGGTTGCTGCGGTACGTGTCGGCCAGTGTTGCTTGACTGAAAGCTAACCTTCTTGCCACCCGCTAAAGAGCAGCTGGTCGCATCCTTAAAATCGGTTTTAGTGGAGTACGCGGCTTCCCTTTGTTTGAGGTAATATTTCGGCTGTGATCATATTTCGTGTCACCAAAGCGATGCCAGTCATTTATTTTGCTTTTGTTTTCGACCGGAATTGCCTTTTAAGCACACTATGGAGTCATAGACCATTGTCATCCGCAAGTGATGAGAAGTGCCGTCACGGCACTCATTGGCCACGGACGCGAATCAAATATTCGTCGACGGATTGATTGTTTATGAGCGCAAACGTCAAGGTTACGGAGCGATCATGTCCAATGCGGGAGCTGGGGTAGGCTAACGTGCTTTAGGCGCCGCGCATATATCACTGTGAAAAGGCGGAGAGCTTTCGAAGGAAAGGAGGGACGAAATATTCCCCTATATTCTAAAATTTTCGAACCAAAAGGCAGGATTCGACTTTCTATCCTTTTTCTTTCGAACCACTAACCCCCCCCCCCCCCCCCCCCGACACGCGATTAATAAAATCCCAATCTAAAATCCTTCATCCGAACCCAAAATTTATTTCATGGCCCCTTTAATTAGCCCGTGACTCGACTGGAGAGGGAAACGTTGTGGTTCGCATTGACCCGATTTTTCTTTATGGGATTCTGTGGTTTGAATGAATAAGTGACGTTCCTTGTCGTGCTCCCTAACTTTCCTATTGAAGCATATTCTGTGTATCTCTCATTAATTTATTTTCCGACTAATTAAACTAAAACAGAGCTCCACTTTTCTTTCAGATGATGCCGGGGACTGGAAAAATTAATCACCAACAGTGATTAATTTTTCACAACCTCTTGTGGGGGTCCTCTGGTTACAGCAAAACGTTTCGTCGCAAAATGAACATCGTTTACGTATATCATTCGTAATCCCATCCAGTTCCAGTCCCCGGCAGTTTGAGTAGTACAGATACAGAAGATCGCGCATTACGGTCAATACACTGCCTCTACTTCGTGTGTGATAAATGATATACTTTCGGCTTAGAGACGAAGCATCACCATCCTTTTCTCTTTGACCTGTCCAGACGTGGATCATGCTTTTCGTGTCTATCGTGACTGTGGCAGTGCTTTCTCGGGCAATGAAAATTTTCTACGAGAGAAGTAGTAACCCAGATGGAAACTTCGGCTGGAAAGTTCTAGATCACCTGTGGACTTACGTCTCGGCCCTCTTGAAACAAGGTACAGTCTTATTTTCTTAAGATATTGACGACGGTTGGAAAAACGTAATTACTAAATTAAAAATGAAACACGTTTACAACACCCTGTAACGCCGAATTAGAGTGCAGCTCTTCAGGGGAGAGTATACCCCTCCTCCTCTCCTGCTAAATTTTTTTACCGCTAAATTTAGCAAAAAGTTTCCCCGCTAAATTTAGCGGCAAAATTTTTCCCGATAGATTTAGCGGAAAAATTTCCCCGCTAAATGTAGCGAGGAAATTTTTCCACTAAATTTGCCGGAGAAAATTTTCCGCTAAATTTAGCCGGGAAATCTTTTCCACTAAATTTAGCGGGGAAATTTTTTGCTAAATTTGGCAGGGAAATTTTTACGCTAAATTTCGAGGGGGAAATTTTCCGCTAAATTTAGTGGGGAAATTTTCCGCTAAATTTAGCGGGGAAATTTACCCATAATGCACCGCGCGGTTACGCCGACGCCGACGGCGACGCCGCTCAAGCCGGAAACGGGCGCCTAAGAGCTGCGCTCTAAAAATGAAGCGATCCTTTTATAAAGATAAAATAAACTACAGTTCACAAGCTGTTTTACGTTAATGCTTCGCTCCCCTTTCGTGCGAAACCAAAATAAATAAAAATAAAGAAAGAACGTTAATGGATACAAGCGATTTATTTGAGGAAAGTAAATATCGGGAAACTCAAAATGTGTTGGTCATTTGTTCGGTCCAAAGTGGGAAAGCGTAGCCAAGTGAACATTTCCCTAATTGTAACTAACGAGCTTAAGAATCTCCAAACTATGGAATGAGCATGCGACACCTTAGCTTTTAGTGCAGACTTTGAGAGCGTAATCCATGCCTCCTGCATATTGCCTTCAGGATCGCGGGCCTTCATTTCTGCTCATGGCATCAAGTTCCTCGCGAGCGCTTGGCTCCTCAGCACTCTAATCCTGACGACGTACTTCACCAGCCTGATTGTGGCTACACTCACGGTGAAAACCTCCAGTCCGAGGATAGATAACATCGAAGACCTCATACAAAGACCTTATGTGAAGCCATTGATCGCCACAGGGACGCAGTTCTTCGCGTTGTTAGAGGTCAGTCACTTCGAATGTCTGGCAGTCGAATATTTCGCACCACGTGACCTTACAGCGATCAGTTTGTCTGCCAATTCAAGTAGACGAACTCGTGTCTTCGTACGCGTAGAGGAGAAATTTGGTCAATGCAATGCGACTGTTACAACCTGGACTGCAGCGTGCATCGCGCAATACATGCCTTGCACTGACGTCACATCGGCACCCACTGAGTACCAAAACAATTTTACTCGATTGGATTTTTTTTTTCTACATGACTATTACTTTATTGATATTCAGAAATATCTTACACATACAAACTTGGATTACGCAACTAGAACGAAACATAACAAATTTATTCTGCCTCGTCGCTTTAACAAGGGATGCTGTAAATAGTGAAGATGTCTGTTGTTTTCTTGGTAACATTTTTTTTAATATTTAAGTGTGCTTGTACTTTTAAAATTCCAACTAACCTGATTTAGCCTCAGGTCTGGCAGTATCTTAATATAAAATAAAAATATATAAATAAATGCATAAATATTTTTACCCCCGCCCCTTTCTAAAAAAAAAAAAAAAAAAAAAAAACTCGGGTTGCAAACAATTCTACATCAAAAAGAGGTGGACACTCACATGTCAAAATGCTAATTTTATCTAAAAAAAATTAAACAAATCACGTATTCCTCGTTTTGTTTTTATAACGTATACGTTTCACGTTTCCGGTGCTCTAACAAACTGATAGAACCGGCACAACTTACCTCTGCAGAGTTCACAGACAGAATCGTACATCAAGCTTCGGGATATGATTACTCACAACCATGGCGGGCGAGACATCCTGAAGCTGTACAATCCCGACGACATCAGTCTTATCATGCAAGAGAAGGCGGTTTTGCTCCTGGATAAGTTCTCGCCAAAACTGCATCTGTCGCATATGTGCCCCACATTGGAAGGGCAATTCTACATCGGAAAAGACTACCTGTACCTGTGGAACTGTGTCTGGGTCACCCACAAGGACTTTCCCAAGGACGTCATGGTGGAAATTAACAAAAGGTTAGTATACTGTCGTCACCAATTTACATGGCGTAGAGACCGGAAAAGCTAATTCAGCCATTAGCAGGGTAGGAGGACCACTTTTGAAGAGTACATGTTTATTCTTGGATATCAAAATAGGGGGATTTTGGAGCTGAAACGTCTAATGCATCGCTGTTTCTTGCTTTTAACTATTATCTAGTATTATTCCAGTGTAGCGAACACGATCTCCGCCTTCCCATGCAGTTTCTTTCTTTTTTAAAGGAAATTGTGTCTGGATTTTGTTTAGCCCCAGGGCTAAATTTGGGGCACTAGAAAAGACGCCAAATTGGTTAGTTAGTTAGCTAATTAACTACATGGTTGTAGTTGCTTTTTTAAGCGTTTATGGTTAGGGTATAATGCATGGTCTAGTCGTGCCGTAAACTTTTGAATAAACGATTAGTAGTAAGCGTTACGGGGCGAGAAATTCACCCCTTGTACAGTTTCAATCCGAAACTCATAGCGTGTTCCACGGAGTCCACGAGTGCGCACTCCGTGCGCACCGGATAGCTATCGCATCTTCCATTGAGGCGCACACCACCTGCATGGGCAGCCGAGCGGCACATGTGGGCTCGGCCCATGAGTGGTGCACGGCTGCTCACCGAAAATATTGACAGGCTTGCTTACAGCCAGGGTGTAAGATAGACAGGTGGGGAAACGGCCCATAGAAACCTACCGCAGCGCCGTGACCGGATTGTGTACTCGTCTGCTTGCGGGTACCCCGATTTGCGACAGATGGCGCTGCGGCTAGAAGAAAAAAAATTGGAATCGAATTTGCATGGAACTTTATGGGAGAGTGCGCAAAATAAACCGAGAGCACGACAGCCTTCCATTGAAAATCCACGAGAAACCTTCTCCGTCAGTTTACCGGGGAACGGTAGGACCGGCATCGAGAAAGAACGTTATATTAAGGAGCCCAGTTATGTGTCGCCGCGTACAGATCATCACTTAAAAGTACGAGAATATAGATGCAGAATTAACGTTTTTAAGCACTCGTTTTTTCCACGAACAATACACGAATGGAACAATTTACCAACTGAGGTTATCTCTGCGGCTCCTTCATCCTTTCCTACTGCCCTAAAAAACTTGCTGTTGGAATAATTTTTCACTTTGCCCTTCTAATAGTGCCATTCACTATACTTTGTTTTCATATATTGTACAAAGTGTTGTATGTTGTATTTTTCTCCTGTCATATCCACTATTTCTGCATCACAATAGTTCTTGTGTATCTCTATATGTATCGTTTGCTATTGTTTTGTATTGCCTTACCCCCCTACAATAATGCCCAGATCTGGGCGATGTAGGTATTCGAATAAATAAATAAATAAATAAATAAAACCGGTCGCCAGCGTTCGCCCACCCGGAATGAGAGTTCGCGGTGCTCCATATAGATGGCGCCATAGAAAAAGAGAAAACCGAGGGGGACACAATCCGGTCGCTCATTTGGCTCTCGTTTCCCCACCTGCGTATCTTACACCCTGCTTACAGCTCAATATGGCGGCGCCCAATGGGTAAAATGGTTACGGTTTTGATATATCTGCTAGATCGTCTTCACGATAGAAATATGTTGAGGTATGGTATGGGTTGTTCCATCTCCGCGACATTGCTGTCGCGAGTTCGTGGGGGATACGTTCCCCGACCGGATTCGACACTCCCTCCAGGCTCCAGCTCGATTAACAGCGATTAGGCGAGAAATCTTTAATGAAAGAGTGTATCCCCGTCTAAATATGCGGCAAATACGGCACTGGTTTCGCGTGTTGTCATCGGAAGAATATGCATTTCTCGTTGCCCGAAATTGGCTTGCTTGAAAGCGACAGTGATTGCGAAGAAACAAAACGACTGTCTACTATTCGGCATCTCGAGACAGCGATTCCAGCGCAATCGTTCCATAAGCTTCCGAAAGGAAACAATTGTTTTGAATCCCTGTCATGAGACGTGCGCAGACAGCATGATCCCCGCGATCCTCGCGACGCGTCAATCGTCCCCGTTCAGTTCTCACGTCATTACACAGACGGCGCGATGGTAGACGCTGACCTGTGGAGGCGCCGTCCGCAAGCGGATTGTGACGTATTTTGACTGCAGTGCGGGAAACCTAGGGTGCCTACATGTTTCCGCCGCTCCGCTGCGGAAACATGTAGGCACCCTAGGGAAACCTGACTCAGTGGCAGTGGGGCCCAATAGAGTTCGCTCTTAAGGCCCGTTCGCACTCTTGCAACCGAGTACGACTGAGAGAGACGAGACCGGTTTTTAAGCCTCTTGCGATCTCTTAGGACCAGCTCCGCTGCAGCGGAGCTGGTCCTAAGAAGTCGCAAGATGCTTAAAAACCGGTCTGGTCTCTCTCGGTCTTACTCGGTCGCAAGAGTGTGAACGGCGCTTTAGTGGGCAAGGGGCGGCGCTATCGCGGCCGGCTTCGCTTCCGGAAGCTGCGAAGGGTTGAGACTGGCGCATGACTGGCGCTCTTTGCTCGCTTAGTTTCATTTTGAAGCCATGTACAAGGAGGGCATTCTTCGCCAGTTTTCCAAGGGCATTACGCTCCTCACAATAAACATTTTAAAAGTGAACTGAAACATTTTAGTTTATTAGCTAACTAATTACCCAATTTCGAGTCTTTTTTTTACTGGCCGCCATAGCCACCAACTTGGCACCTGAACTTTAAAAAAAAAATACCTAACGCAAATTCCGTTTTTTTTTTTTTTTTATTAAAAAAACAAAACACTGCATAGTGTCCTTTTGCGATTTTATTTCGAAGAATGGATTCGCAAGCTCTAACCTTGTCGTAGGATCACGTGGTGGCTGGAAAGTGGAGTGCCAGTGATGCACTCCTACGAGCTGGACCCACCTCAAGCGACCTGCTTCGTCGGGAGCCACAAGGAGAGTTCCTACGTGTTCGGCACCATGCGCTTTCAGGATTTAACGACTGTGTTTTTCTTGTATCTCATCATGAGCGCACTCGCAATTGTAGTGTTCTGCCTAGAAATTGCGATAGGACGCTTTGACAGTCGCTAGAGGGCTGGCGCAATTTCAAGGGAAGCTGAAGAGGTTTTGTAAAACAAAATAATAATAATAATAATAATAATATTAAATTAAAGAATAATGCTATTTTTTTTTTGTCTAATCTCGTGAATTCGAATAGCAACATATTGCCTCCAAAATATTACTAAACGCTAGAAGAGAAACAAATGAGAACAACCCCGGGACGTGACGTCAACTCCAGGACTTCCTTTCGGCTGCCCAGCGTTCGCCGCTCCTGTCGGCAAACACTCGCAACTGCAAGCCTGTCAAAGTTACCTCATGCGCACGCTGCACGTGCGTGCAGCGTGGTGTCCCATCTGCTAAAGCGTGCAGACATCAAAGATTGGCAGACATGTGCTGCGGCATCCGCGTGGCAGGCAATTACGCTTGTTTGCTACGCGCTCATGCTGGGCGTTGTGTGCGATAGAGCGCCACCAGCGTCACGCCAAATGCCCCGCTGAGGTGCAATGATTGCACTGGCTAGAGCAGCATAATCGGTGTGCTGGAAGTAGTGCGACCACCATGTAAGAAGAGAATTCTAACAAGGAGGGGCATATCATGAGCATTTTATCCCACTGCATAGAGGTTTCGTTCTGCCGTAAATGGGAACACTAGCCCTTATATACAGGGTGTTTCACCTAAGAGGGACGAAAATTCCTAAAATTACAACGGAGCAGGTACTAGGCGGGGACTCTCATAAGAGACGGGAAAATGGCGCGGGCTCCTTACCGCAATCGCTATCCTTGTACCTGCTCCACGAGAGGTAACTTTAGTGCACTTCACTACGCTTCTCACGCGCTCAAAGTGTGTCTGAAAATTATTGATTTAGTGGTTTTCGATGACGCTGAGCAAGTTTCTAACAGGAATCTTAATTATGTCTATTTTCACTCATTAAAAAGTTAAATAGTCATTTTCAATTAATTATCGAACTAATTAGTAAGAATCGTGCATTTTCTGACGTCCGCCACCCCGAGTAATGCGGTGCCGATAAAATTATCTTTTTACCTGGAATGCACTAATTGTAGGAAATTTTTTCACTCTTAACACCCTGTATGTATTTGTGTGTGTGTGTGCGTGCCTGCGTGTGCGTGTGCGTGCGCGCGCGCACGCGCGCGTGTGTGCGTGCGTGCGTGTGTGTGTGTGTGTGTGTGCGTGCGTGTGTGCGTGCGTGCGTGCGTGTGTGCGTGCGTGCGTGTGCGTGCGTGCGTGCGTGCGTGCGTGCGTGCGTGTGCGTGCGTGCGTGCGTGCGTGTGTGCGTGCGTGCGTGCGTGCGTGCGTGCGTGCGTGCGTGTGTGTGTGTGTGTGTCTGGCGTTGTTTTATTTAGAACAAAATTTGCAATGATCTAAATGGCCTCCGCCACACCTCCCCTTCTAGCCCATACCACCACCCTGAGAGCAGAACGTTGTTGTAGCCTCGGGAAAGGCTTGCGGAAGGCGCGGGGATACCGAGATCTCTGGAGATGACAGCACGCTCCCTCTGGGGTTTCCTCCTCGCACTGACCGCGTCGGGAAGAGAAGGGGGAACTTCAGCATTATTTCGAAAGCGATTTGTCGCTTACTACGGGTATAAAATAATGTTTCTATTTGTAACTCTGGAGGCCTTTTTTTTTTTCTTTTTTTTCCTTTTTGTTTGACTTCTAGTGTTACGATTTTTTTTTTTTTTTCACTCAAATACCATATCACTTCAGTTTCCCTTTATAACAAAAGCATGTTTTTGAGTGTTCGTTATTCGTGAGGGTACGTCTTTTGTTATAGGAAGATTTCTTAAACTGCAACAAAAGCCTTTTTTTTTTTGCGCAATGGATGTCATGCATTATTCGCTTGTGTGAAATTATTGCACATCTAGGGTGATCGCGGGCCATATAATATGCTACACTGCAAACACCTACATTTACACAGCTTTGAAATGTGAGACTAGATTTGTGCAGGATGACTAACTTCATTTTTTACTCAATCAAATGTAGCCTTGGTTTTAAAGCAGTTCATTTAAGCATCGCATTAAAAAATATCCCAGAGAAGCATAGCTAGGCGCCGAATGAACGATAAAAGCCTGAGCGCACATCTGTACAGTCGAGAATTACGAGATCGTAATTACTAGCATTACAGCCAAGGTGACTGTTAACCAACGCACTTGGGTAACTGACTTTGGAAATGAAATTTAATTAGAGATACATTTCACTGAAATTGGTTAACTACAATAAGATTTGCTAGCGCATAAAAGGTAATTAATTACAATCATGCATTACTTTTAGAAAGTAATACAATTACTTTTCAAGTACCTTGCCTGGACAAGCTTCCGACTTTAATGAAACTGATGGGGCAGTATTTTGCCGCACTAAATGAAATTTATATTTGTCCATTCATTGCCTGAACATTGCTGATTCATTGTACGGCATTTTTACATTCGTCATATTTTGCGCCTTTGTCTCCCCTCCTTTATTAATGGTATGATAAGGAATCTAGCTTATCTATGAGTACGATACCAGCAAGTCGTTTTCTTAATTTGTGACACTGCCAAGGTTCTCAGTGCTCTATTTATCGTGACAGTTCAAAGAAAATGTTATCTATCAGTGTTGGTAGTCGACGAAATCATCAAACTATTAATTATCATGAAAGTGGCCAACATGAGTCGTGTTAAGATATTCACCCCGTAATTCTGACGTCACTGCTCTAAACAAACCGTTGCTAGGGGCGTTGTTATGGACGAATACATGGGACTGGATTTCGCTCCGAAAGAACGGTCAGTCAGAAATAGGACGTAGAATTTAAACGTCTAAAAAAAAAGATACAGGAAGCCTAGATTTCAAACTTACCACGGCAGAAGTTTGCCGAGAATCGGCTGTTTCTGCAATTTTTGCGACGACAACTTCCGGTCCTTGAGACGTCTTGAGCTGCCTGCTGCATGCGACGAACGCATGACGAACGCTCACGGAATGATTGAAGTACGCCGTGTGCAACAGTTTGAATCGCGTATGCACAATGGTACGATTTTGATTTTGTATTTATTTGGGAGCATGGCAGGCCTAAGAAACCTCACCAGGATTATAAAAACGAATGTATTTACGTGAGATATGGGATTCTGTCTGACGAAAATCGTCACACGCATGGAGATCTGCTAAAAACACAGCCAGAAAAGCATCCGTTTGGAACATTATATCTAAGCATCATCGGGCCATCCTTTTGATTTTGCAGTTGACGTGCATTGTAATGAAGGAGCAATTATTTTTACTCTAACATGAGCGGTTAGAGACCCAAAACTTCGTTTTTCAGGCTTGCAATATGGTGTATGCTTCGTGCCTGCTTGTAATCATCGCACTGAGGAAATATCCTGCCGATTCTTCAGTTTTAAGTAAGACCCCAAATAGCGAAGGAACTGGATAAGGGTAAGAATTATTTATATATATATATATATATATATATATATATATATATATATATATATATATATATATATATATATATATATATATATATATATATATATATCTTACGAAGAGTTCGTTTGACCACAAAAATATGCACTGAAGCAACTGTAGTGTCAGAAATCCTTAAAACGTGTGCTGACCTGCACGTTCACTTTGAGACATTTCACGTCGTCGTCGTAGTACATGATTCGGCTTCGCAGTGTTTTCACCTTCTCAAAAATTGCGGAAGCGAGCTCCACGGGCAGTCGTTCGCGCCCTCGCGCACCTCGAGCGTCGATCAGAGCTTCTTCGCTTCCGAAATCCCACAGAAAGTTGACCCCGACAATAGAAGAGTTTTGTCGATCGGCACCAACTTCATTCAACGCAGTCGGGTACTCCATCAGAAGAACCACAGAACCCGCGAAGCCATCGTGTCGTCTGCTAGCAAGGCAAAACCGGTTGTGAAACTTTATCACGGGCTTTCGTCGTCGCTTTATGGTACTGCGACGGTAAAAAAAGTATTTATGAGTAGATATGAAGAAGACACAATGCAGAATGAAGAAGACACAATAAAAAATTATTTACTTTTTTATCAGATAATTTCTAACGGTTTGTTCTAAGAAGAGCGCCATGTTGTGACGTCATCACTGACGGGGTAAATGCAGAGTACACATCACGGATGTGTTCTTATCCAAGTAGATCCGAGTTACTCCGGCGGGTCGTGTCACGTGACAACACAGGTAGAGCAATGTAGGACGCGGTAGGTTTTCGAACGCCAAGGTACAAAACTCTTAAAGAGATGCTGAACCAAAATTTGGAGCTCATAAAACAAGGCTGGAGTGATAGGCTTCTTGCACCTGACGTCGCTTCCGGTTAGTTCGAAATCGAAAACAACCCTTCCCGGTGCGTGACGTTATATTAGGTGCGTGACGTCATCTTCAGTGCCTGTCAACGTTGTGCCTGTCAAAGCTAAGCACGCGCACTCTTGATATTTTCACAAAGATCAGAGTGCGGAAAGTGATACCTGGCAAGCTTGTAATTGCACGCGCTGCCCACACGAGCGACACGCGCTTCGCGGCCCAAAGATCCTAGTATGACGTCACAGGTTTTTCGTGTTTTCTCGCCTTTAGTTACATATTCGGGGAAAACGAACGTGACATTCAGATTCACGAGATAAAAGTACGCCAAAACTCACCTCCAACTCGTTTTTTGTTGTTTTTCTTCTTTTTTTTTTTTTTTTTTTAATAAATGTTTCGGCCTCTAGATTGAGGACTACCCACAATCCTTTCAATCAAAGCCAATCAGAGCTCGCCGTCGTTCTGACGTCACCGCAACTCCTGCGCAAGAAGCAGACGACTTTCCCTCCACATAGGCGGAACGCTGCAAAACCCCAAAAAATCACTGATACAGCGGTATCTGAAACGGATGGCCCTATTTTTGGAAAAGAAGAGCGCCATTGAACATGGCCCACGAGGCCGACGAGGCATGGAACGTCGCGATTCGCTTTGTCCCCTCGCGCAGGAGAACCGAAGCGAGGAGGAGAGAAGCAAGGTCGCTTCTCCTCATTCTCAACTGTCTGAAGGGAATCGT